AACATATAAAAGTTTTTAACTTAAAATGTCATAACTTTGTCAATTTTTAGCAAAACTTATGCAACTTTGTGTCAAAAAGAAGGTCTAAGTATTTGTCTTTTTGTGTATCAAAACTTTTAAACAGTTACTTTTTAGCTTTTGCATGTAAAATTTGTATTTTATTATAAATACTGTTTTGAATATTGGTAGGTGTATGCATAGTATGTTTATATATTCTACATACACCTATCAACAATTGATGTAGACACACCTATAATATATTTACATGCACATATTAATAAGTGTATGTCTAGCGGTTATTAAATATGTTTGCCACTAGAGAGCCAAAATAAGACAAGTCTTTGCAAGTAAAATTAAATTAAACAATCAAAATATTTACTGACAAAAAAATCTTCACAAAAATTGTTTGCACCAATTAGCAGTGGTAAAGATGGCGTCGATGAAAAAGGAAAATCTGAAAAATTATAGTAACTTTAGTAAAAGTACAAAAACTTTATTTTAAATTGTCTGCAAGTGTAAGTAACTAATTGTATAAGTAACTAACTAATAAAATTGCATAGCAACTAACTAATAAAATGTTTTTTTCTGCAGCAACTAAATTACAAGTTTTAATTATAGTTAAAAATTATAGCTCTATGGTCAATTTATCATTCTTATCAATTCAATAAAATAAAATAAAAATAAATAGATTTTCTTTTTTTTTTCTAAAGATGTTAAGCAAACGTTAGTAATGTGAAATTTTATGCTGTAGTTTTAAAACAGGCAATTGGAATTTTTTTGGCCAGATATTAACGCTGTAATACTATTAGTTAAATTTCAAAAATTCATTATTTTTCCTTGATTTTATTTTTTTTTATATCGTAAAACTTAGATACAAAAAGCTTGCTGTAGTGTCACTCTTTTAAGGTTGGTATGGATAGAAACCGTTTAAGTTTCATGATAAGGTTGATATAGGTAAGAAACCGTGATAACATGTGAAGTAGGTAAGAAACAGTAATACCATGTGAAATGGGTAAGAAACCGTGATACCATGAAACCAAGAAACCATAATAAGGTTGATATGGGTAGGAACCGTTCAAGTTTTAATTTAAAGGCACATGTTTAGGATATTTGGAAACTTAACAGAATTATTTTTGATACTGCATTTGAGTTTTAGATTGTAGTTTCAGAGATCTTTGAAAAAGTACGATATATTGATTTTTTTAAAATTTGGTTAACAATAAGTTTAGATAAAAATTAACAGTTGCCACAAGATTTCATAGTAATTTTAACATTTTCTCATTTATAGGTATATATGAAACCAGAAAGAAAAATGACTAGCCTTAACTTGCCCCAATTTAATATACAACTATTTAACTTTTTTTTTTCTTATTGAAATTATTTTTTCCCTAACATTATTAAAACTTGCGTATAAATGAAAGGGCAATAGTTGCATATATTCATCATGAAAATCTTTTAAAAACTCATGCTCAAACAAATAGTAACAACTTTCAAACTTCGAAAACCAAAATATGCACAGTTTGATGACGTTGTTGCACGTGTTAAACATTTATAAATAAAACTTGAGTGTAAGAAAATGAACATTTGTTTATTCCTTACATTCATCATGAAAAGAATACATTTAGTTCCTATTATTTAAGAGTAAGGATTTAATCATGAAAATAAAATTAAGGTTATTCTACATAAGTTTTGTAGACTGGAAGGTCTAATTCATGAAGTGGCTAGTCCACCCACACTGAGTGGATGGTCTAAAGTAATGATGAGCTTGAAATGATAAAAAATGTGTATTTACATTTAAATGTAAACTTAACTTGCAATAACATTCTAAAACCTTCTCAAAAGTTCTGTAATATTAGTAAAATAATTGAACATTAGCATTAGCCAAGAAAGAACATAAATAAACTTTGTTGGGAAAATTATAAAAGTTGACAAAAAGACGTTGCACCAGGTCCAGATAGAAAAAAAC